AGCAGATTCAGCTGTTATGCATCAATCTGAGAACTTCAATGTGTACCGGGCTAATGGCACAAGACCATGATCACAGTTCCGGAACGGCGGTTAGCTACCTGGTGCGTCTGAGCCCGGTTCCTCATGAACTTCGGTAAATGATTTCAAGTGCCGAGACTAACCTGATCACAGTTCCGGTACGGCGGTTGGCTAGTTACCTGGTGCGTTTGGGTCCGGTTCCTCAACTTTGATGAAGAGAGAAAATCGGAACCTCGCGCACCGGCCGGTAGGTACATAGACTGGATACAAGCAGCTGCGGCACACACAAGCTTACACACTGTGACTATCAAACAACTAGGTTTGCCCATCTCACACACCAATCTTCACAATCCACAAGTGAGATTGTAAAATTATCAAATTGGGATAATAAAAATAAGGAAGGGATCAGTAAGTTATAGGCATGTAGATATTGCTTTTGCCATACATGAAAATATACCACATTTGGGAATAAAGAAATTCGTCAAGAAATGAAGAATGGGAGGACGGGCGAGGGAATATGCTGTAAAGGGAAATAAGAAATCTCAAGAACCCAAAGTTTTCTGTTTTCTTCTATAAGAATGTAGTCATAATAGATACTTGATGTGTGGGTGTATAACAGACGAGATTCCAAAGTGTTCTAAATGGGAAGTTTTCCTTGCTCACGGCATGCACGCGTGGTAGTGTGGCCCTTGCGACGAGCTTTTTGGATGGCTGCAAGAGTTAATATCCAGAAGATTGAGAGTATCAGCTCCTGAGGGACTAGGAGGACTTTTTTTATTTTGAAAAAAGGGAATCGATGCTTTACCTGGGTCAGTGCAATCACAAACGGGAAGGTTGACGACACATTCGGCGTTGACATCTGTCGGGAGAGTTCTGGAAGATGATGGGACGGGTGCAAAAAGAAGGGGGGGGGGCGTCAGCGGTGAAGTCCTCGAGTCTTCATCTCGCAACTCTGTTCACTTACCCATTTCGGTATGGATCGTAGTTGAAGGCTTTGTACTTCTGGTAGCAGTTCCAGGATTGGGTGACTAAGTATTCCGTACTGATGTCGTACTTGTCCGCAATTACCCGAGCGTTGTACCATTTGTTCTCGGTTTTTTTCCCCTTGGCTTTGACAATGTTCATCATCCTGGGATGTGGACACCATAAAAAGAGGAAACCAGCAACATCGTTGGTGATGTTTTTTCAATCGTCATCTTCAACGGTGGAAAGAAGGGCTTACGTTCCGTCCTTACAAAAAGAGAGGTACTCGTCTCCATGCCAAGCACCGTTGGGACCTTTGCCTTTGCATGGATCCTAAAACCAGTTTTCAGTGGTGAGGTTAGCAAAAAGGCAGGATTGGGGTAGAATGAATGCAACAGTGAATAGACTATTCTTTTTGACGCAAGGCAAGTTCATCGAGGTTGGCCAGCGTCAAAAGGACTTGCTTATCACTGTGTGTAATCAAATTTGACGCACACTTTTATAAGTAACATAGGCGCCCTATCAGACGGATGGTGACCAAATGAGAGATGTGATTCAGCAAGCAGTTCATCAATTGTGATAGCTCAATGTTGTAGCAGACCTGAGTTCGGAGAATGTCGACCAAGATGCGTATGGCTAAGGTTTTCTCGATCTGCTTTTGCACATTCTCTTGTTCTTCGACCAGCGTGTTATTGAGGAAGGCGCCTCCTTTCAATACTGTTGCGATGCCTAGAGGCGATGAAATTCCGGATTGGATGGTGGTGCTGGTGATGTTTGCCAGTTTGTCTTGCACTTTCGATTGCCACTCTGACAGATAATAATCGTAAGATGACCACTGAGGCGCAGAAAAAGAAATAAAAATCAAAATGAGTTTAACATGTGTGGAAACAATCAGGAAATAATCAAAATGAATACCCGGGTGAAGCCATCAGGAGTGCGGTCCCAACTTTGATAAATGTTGATTCCAGTGAAGACGGCACTGGCTCCCGCTGCGAGTGCCCCAACGACAACACTACCAACAATAAGACTGGCGGGACCCTGCGCGACGATGGCAATGGCAGTTACCGTCAAGACTAGGGCACTGAGCAGAATGGAAAGGTCTTGAAGATGGAAAAAGATGGAGTGCGATTTCGAGCCAAATCTTTTCGGTCGATCATATTTTGGGTGTTGGATAAGAGAGTGATTTACAAGTTAGACGTTGTCCGATTGCACACAAATTATTGTCAAGTCCAGCTAAAACGCGACGTACAAATCCGTGATCATACTGCCGGCAGTAGCTGAGCGAGGGATGGCAGAAGAATGAAAAACGGTTTTAGCATGCTTCGAAGCACCAATTGACGTCAAAATGTGGTAGGGCAACACGGCCTCACCCTGGACCATGGAAACCGCGAATCCAATTGCAGTGTAGATAGAATTTTGGACCGAGTTCCATTCTTGGGCTGCGTATAGTACGTACCAGTCAGGCGCCGTTACCGGATTACCGAGCTAATGGGGCCAATAGTGTTTTTCAGAGCGATTAGGAATACTGGCATGAGATGCTCCACATTGAAATGTGACAAACCTGGCCTGCATGACAACCTTCTCCTATTCCGCAGATGAAGTTCTGGACTTGATGTGAAAGCGCGTAATCCTTTGTTTTCGCAGGTTTGTGGCAGAAGAAAGAAGAATGGAGATTAACATTCGTCTTGAACTCTTTTCCAAGCGTCATGAAACACTCACTTGAAGGTTCAAGCTCGATCCGCCAGGGTAATTAGAGAGATAATCGTCTATTTTCAAGGAGTTCCAGGTCTCTGGACTGAGTGGCAAGTCGGTAGAGTTTCTTGAAAGAGGGAGGGCGGCAGATGAGGCGGAACGAGGCAATGCGATGCCATTTGAGGTTTGCGAGAGGCTGATATGGCAGAGCCCCAGACAGATCGTTATGAAGCTAATGAGATCCCGATTCATGGTGAACGGTTACTTTTCGAAAACGAGCGTAAGGAGTCAGCTGGGTGGGGGTGTAGGTAGGTGTCTTGTCTTCCAGCCCAGTACTTCTATGTAGGGTAAGGAACGGAACAGGTCGCTCCACAGATAATACTTAAGGCGAGCCGTTAGACTTTTCCTTGAGAAGCGGTGTGGAGCAGACCGGAACAAGATGATGAAACTCTAGACATGGATTAATATCAGTATGAAACGCGAACAATTTTAATGGTGAGGTGGTAGGATAGCGTAAAGTGATGCACTCTGTACGAAGCTTTCTTATCTCGGACTCGCCATCCGACATGTTACGGACCTCGTACCTTGCGAGTCAGCCTCCCTCGATTCGCAATAGAGGAGGTCATTTATTGGCGCATTCGTCCCGACCCGAGGAGCATTTTCGGCCGGCAATCATGCACCACAGCGGTGAAGGCTAGCCGCCGCAACCTTGAGCGACAGCTGCTCTGCTACGGTGCAGAGTGCTTCCGGTGCGTTGGCTGCCTGCCCAAGTCAACACACTTAGGAGCGGCATCAGAAGTGGCCAGCAGCGATCCTGGTGTTGACGGGACGTGCCGCAGCGAGGCAGTCGGGTACAGGAACCCTCGAGGTCATGTACTGACCGAACCTCAAACACGGGCCATTGATCTTGCTCGTGAGCTGGGGCATAACCGCGAGGATGTCGGAAGTGGAGAGGGTTTTCCATCCCTCGAGACGCCGGACTGCAAGGGTCAAGGAAATCTGTCTGAGTGGAGAGGTGCTCAACCACGTCCAAACAAGCCGTCCTCCCCGTCATTGAGATAATACACTTGTGGAAGCCTCATCGACCTCCCAAACCCGGGCCTCGATTTGCGTTCAGACGGGTATGCCCGAGACACACCCTGCCGGTTAGGAAGAGCACTAAGAAAAGTGTACCCTCCGCATTGAACCAAGCGAGTCTTTCTGTCCATCTACTCACGATGACAAGTTTCCACGAATCTTGGAGGCACCAACATTGGGCAACGGCAATTACCGGTATAAATAACTTGCATTTATACTTGGGCAGAAAGGATGTCCGTCACCAATGTTCCGGAGGTCTAGTGAGATACGTCATTTATAAGTGTATGTCACACAGTTGGGACTAGTAGCACTGGTTGTTAGGATCTTTACCATGAGAAATACACAAGATCAGTGATTTCACGGCGGAATTTTGAGGTTGAACCTCATTGAGCCGCACTGGGGAGTAGAAATTTTGCATGAATATGTGATAAAAAAAAAGTAACCACCGACAATCACCTATTCCAGTGAGGCGAGTTGATAGTCACCGGTCGACGTGTAACAAATATAACAATAATTAAATAATCATAGAAATATCAGAATAAAGGAGAAATTAAAATGGAAAGAAAGAAATATATCGGAAAATATATATACATATGTTTCATACTTCATTTGGAAACAATAAAGAATAATAATAAAAATAAAAATAAAATATAAAATAAAGACTTCAATGACATCAAAATATCTAAGACATTGTCGAAAAACAATGTATCACACATATTACACTCATTTAACAAGTATAACAACTGTAGATATGCGTATAGAACATCTAGATGCCCCAAAAGGATCAATCTAGCGCCCTAAGAACCAATGAGGAGCCAATCTAGAGCCCAAACAACTAAATCAAAGCAGTTTGACAATAAAAACAACACCTAGAACCAATAGAGCACCTACTAGGACCCAAGAGGCAGAGGATTGCCTGCGACATGGCAACATGTAGCAAGAGTAGAAACCTTTTGTCCATAGCAACACCAGCATAAACCTGGCTAAGATCAAAGCAGAGAGCTACAACCCTGTATCCTGCTCAAACAGGTGTAACTATGAGCTAAGAGGCTTAGCCTAGATCATAATAGGTGAAACCCTGGCTTGGCACTAGAAATACACAAGCCCATCCTGGCTTGTAAAACACAACCAACCCAGGATATTCAAGCTCTCCAAGATTTCACAGAATTAATTGATTTTATTGCCCAGCTTCATACTGTTAAGCACAAGCTGTACATAACTAATGTACTCCACAAACCAACACGTTAAATGCGTACTCAGCTCAATGGTTAGAGCATCACTCATGAATGCTGAGGTTGTGGGTTCAACTCCCACAGTACACCACCTTCCTTTTCACTTGTTCAATAAGGCTGACAGGTAGGTGTCAGAATATCAATCAGATGCCTCACTCTGGGATCTCCGCAGCTCTCTCTTCATCTCAGGCACATTCACCTGATCCTTTCTTTTCTCATCTCAACCAGAACCTTCAATTTAAAAACCATCAGTTTGACAGGACACCACTCAGTTGAAACAACTTTTTCAATGATCTTCCACTCAAAAATTGCTGTCATGATTTTTTCAGATATTGAAAAACCTGTGTGAGGATGCGGGAGCTCTTCTAAAGATATTAATTCCTTGGTTAGTTTTAATCCACAGTGTCTTAAAAATATACTGGCCTGTGTGAAACTTAATTCTGTGAGCATATGTATCCAAATGAGATCAAGCCATACTTTCTCATATCAACACATCAGGCACAGACTTGGCAGCCTAGTTGGTAAAGGCAGCACTTCTAGTATAGTGTCTTAGCTTCTGGCTAAGGTCGCTGGTTCAATTTATCTTTCTTTCTAAATGTCTGAAAATGTGTTGTTAATCTTCATCTGTTTCAATCCTGTCTCAGGCTCACAAGTTCAAATTAAAGAACAGAAGATCTGAAGGTTTCCAACCTGAGGTGTTAGGACACAACTTAGTGGACTAACAACAAGTGAGATGAAGCAAACCTGGAGACAACACAAGAGACGCGGATGATAATGAGTAAGACTCAATAGATGAAACAACAAAATAATTGGATGATTATTTCTAACCTGAAGGTTTCCAACCTGAAGTGTTAGGACACGACTGAGTGGACTAACAACAAGTGAGATGAAACGAACCTGATCAATGAAAGATGTAAGAAGAGAGAATGGGGATATGAAGAGAGAGTGAGAGAAACCAGACATGAAGACAACACGAGAGACACAGATGAGGATAATATGAAAAATGTTTTTTGAAATCAAGCCACAGCATTCTTCTCCTTTCTTGAAGTTAATCAAAATCTGACTGAATGAATCTTGGGGAGCTGTAGGAGAGAGTATTTTTGGAAGCATACATGATTCCAAGTGTGGAAAACTTCAAGTTAAATGTGCTGAAAAATATGAATAATGGGTGGAAGGAATATTTTTTGAGGTTTTGGGGATGTGGAGAAATTTTGTGAGTGGTTTGGCTCTTCTTTTGGATAATAAAAAATGTTTTAAATTCACAAAAAGTGGAATAAAAATATTCAAGAGTGACCTGAGAACAGGGATTATTTGGATTTTTCTATTTTTGCCAGGAATGGTTGTTATGCGCTTATCTGATCCTGTGGAGAATGTGAGCTGGGATCATTCAGTATTTCCAGGAAATGAATAGGAGGGAAGTATGAACAAAAGGAATACTCACTGTTAGATCACTTGTGGCAAACATTCATTCAGACATGTAACAGGAGGTTTTAGTTGGATAAGTGTATTCATGGGTATTTTGAAAAATGGAAACATGGTCCAAGAAAATTTAATACTATTGTATAAATAGGGTAGGAAATTTATTAGGGGAAGATACAGATGATAAACTAGATAAAAAGGTCCGAGGGAACACAGGAACTACTCTTGAGCTTGGTTTGAGTCTTATGAGAAATAAATAATCTTGGGGAAATATTTGA